ACCCTTCTCTTGCTCTCTTATTAAACCATAATTTTTAGGTGTCTGAAGAGTGCATATACTAATTTTGTATTCTCTACAGTGCACTAGGACATTGAAGATATTCAATATATTTTTGTTACGTTTAAACAGAACAACCCATTTGGGGTGATGTGCATGATCATTCCTTATGCCGGGTACAAGAGATCATCTGCTTTTTGTCCACATTAGATGGTGCCTGATGAAAGGAGAAGCTATGGCTCTAAGTTATCCAGGTCCTGTCTCTTGATTCAGAAAGCGTGGGCAGGAATGAATAAGTGGGGGAAAGAGAATGACAAGCATGGAGGAGGTGGAGGAGTCGTCCACCTGGGTTCTGGAATCTCTATTCTGGAAGCGTGAACTCAGCTTAGCATGGCCCATGTTATTCAATATCTAAATGGGAAGTGCATTGTTAGTGATGAAGTTTCCAAAGAAGAATGGTTAAGTCTGCAACCGTCAGCATTAGACTCCAGCTGGGGATTCATTAACAACCTCTGACGAGGGCAAAGGACTCTGCATTTAAATTACAAAATTTAAAAAAGAAGATCAATATTCTAAAGGGCTCCTGGGCCAGAAAACCAAGGCTGTCTGAGTTAAGCCCATTACTGAATTTCTGGGAGATTCACAACAATAGCTCAAGATGCACCACAGCACAGCTGGAGGAAGTTGGTTTATTGAGGACTAAATGCATGTGCACGCACACACACACACACACACACACACACACACACACACACACCCCTAGAGGACTGGTGATACTTGGGGCACAAAAGAGGTACATCTGAAGTTTCTTGTTTTGTTAATGATTGCTAAGTGATTCTAAGAGGAAAAAAAGGGAGGCAGAAAATATTTGTAGGAGTAAAAATACAAAGGGACAAAAAAGATGGATGGAGATTATGCCCAAAGTAGGGCAAAAGATGTAGTTTAAGGCTTTAAGAAAAAGCAGAACAAGAATCTGCAGATATAGTGGAGGAAGTCAGTAGAAAAGAAAAATCATACGATTAAAAAAAGAAACCAACAGCTCAAAGAAAAAGACCCTAATATTTATTGACTGCTTATTAAGTGTAAAGCTTTGTTTAGATAGCAACAACCCTATGATGCAGGCATTTTTATTGTCCCCATTTTCCAGGTGAGAACATTTGAGGCTTTGGAAAGTGAAGTATTCTCCCAAAGCATCCCAGCCAATTTGTGGCAGAAATTTGAACCTGGGTCTGGCTCTATCTCCAGAACCCGTGTATATAAACAGTACACAGTGTTCCATTACTGGGTTTTGTGTTAAAGCAGCAGAAAAGGAATGAAGCAAAGCTGGGGAAAGGTGTAGGGAAATCAAACAAAAGAAAATGCTAAGAACTCAAGAAATGAGAATAAACAGCCAGATGGAGTCAGATGAGCATGTGCTTTATTGCACCATAAAAATAGACTTTCACCTTGGCCCCTGGACCTGCGGGTTACAGGGAAGGCAGATACATACTCCTTCCTCTCTTCCCTGTCCTACCCCCTCCTTGGGTCTCAGAGGCGGGGACCTTCCTGGAGTGAGTTCAAACCCCTCTGAACTGCGTGCAGCCATGTAAGGCCATAGAATCTTCCTGCTCTGTTAGGGTATCTGTATTTCTCCCTGCATTGTTAGGTGCTCCCTTTTCTGACCTGAGAAGGGAATGCTCTGCTCTCTCTGGCTGGCAAAGGCAGCGGAGAGGTCAACAGCCCCAGGGAGGGGAGGGGAGGACAGTAAGGATAAAGTAATGGGACATTGATATCTTTAAACAAATGTACAGGAAATTATTAATACATCCAAATACACTTTATTCTTCAGAGTTGGCCCCTTCCAGGCAGTTCGTTTTTCCAGTTATTTTGTCATTGCTAAATGTGGAAACTGTCTTTAAAGCCTGTTTATAAACCTCAGAAGGAAAGCCAGTTTTCATAGCCAGTCCTTATTTTTTCCTAAAAATGATATTAGTCAGTTTGATCACCCATGTTGGAAACTGCATTGACCGAATCACTTGCTAATCTCCCAAATTAAATTCACCCTTAAAGGACAGAGACTTGCCTCATTTCCAAGACTATGACAGAGGTGCTGGTAGCTCTTAAAGAGGAGGGAAAATACTCAAGCTTCACCAGGTTAATTAGTGAACAGACTTTCTAATTCCTCGTTTACTGAACCTCTACTACGCACTGGGCATTGTCTAAGGGACTGGGGTTTCAGCAGCAAGCAAGACGATGTGCTCAAGGAGCTCACATTGGGTTGGGGGAGAGAAAAAGGTGTATGAAGAAGTGTCACAGTGTGATGGTCTCGGCACAGACTCTGGAGCCAGATGTGAGTGTATGTTTGGCTCACCTATATATGAGGTGTGTGACCTTAGGCAACTTCTCTGTTCTCTCTGGGTCTCAGTGTCCTCATTTATAACACAGGGATAATTACAGACCTCACCTTCTTCAGGGTTTTTGCAAAAACTAAATGCATCGATATATGCAAAGCACTAGGTACCAGGCCCGCAGTGAGTTCTATGTCGAGTGTGGCTCTTACATGTCATATCTCAGGGAGGCCTTCCTGACGACCCTACCTAAAATTGGGATCACTCCCAGCACTTTCTACCCCCTTCCCTCTCTCTTTCCCTCTGCATAGGACACACTAAGAGGTCTTACTGAGTACCTGCCAGGTTCCAGATGCTGCCCAGGTATTGGGGACCTAGCAGTGGATAAAACAAAGATCCCTGCACTCATACTAAATATGTGTTGGGTGAATGGATGGCTGAGAACCAGTAGATAGAGTGGTTAATCACAACAAATGCAGTGGTGTGGGAGGGGTGTCACGTAGCACAGGTGAGGACCTAGCAGTGACCACTGACGTTGGCAAGAGGCGGGGCTGTAGTGGCTGTGGCAAGAGCTGCTTCGTTCAAGTGCTGAGAAGTGGACAGAGGAGGGGATTAGAGGTGAGGAAGTAGGTCAGGGATGGGCAGCCCTTTTGATGAGTTTTGTCATGAGCAGGAGCAGAGAAATGGGGGTAGTAGATGGAGAGAGATATAAGGGTCAAGGAATAGTTGATTATTTTTTCATAAATGATAACGTGACAGGTTTCTGTCCTGGTGCATGTGATCCAGAAGTTAATGATGGGGCAAGATGAAAGAATAGGGAGAGAAAAGGGAGGGGAGAGCGAGAGGGAGGGGGAGTGGGGGAGAGAGGGAGAGAAGATAGTTACGCGAAGAATGAAGTCTCTGAGAAGGTGTGAGGAGATGGCATCCAGCGCACACGGGGAAGGACTGGCCTTGGGCAGGAACAGGGCTGTTCAATAACTGCAACAGCAAGGACGGCAGGGTTGTGGGTGGGAGGCAAGGTGGGCTATGCATAGGCTGTTAGATTTGATGACAGGGTGGTGTGATAATTATTCTCGGGTCACTTTCATTATCTCAGTGAAAGAAGAGATGTGCTCATTCACTGGGAACGAAGATGGGGAAGGCGGTTGGAATTTTGTGAAGAAAGGAGAAATGTGCAATGTGCTATCACAGGAGAGCAAGAGGAACAAGATGCCAGGGTAGTGGAAGATGATTTCTCACAAGGTCGAGAGCCCATCTGATATTTGTGGCTGCAAGTCCGAAGCAAAACCAGTCAACACGGCAGAGGACTTTTCTTCAACAATGTCCAGCTGCTTAGGGGCAGGTGCAGAATAAGAAGATAGTGGGGTTTAACCACAGTGGGGTTTTGTCACATGCATAAATGGCAGGAGAGTTCGGGGAGCTGGCACTGGGATGATGGAGTCTATGGTGGTTAAAAAGGAAAGGAAAGACATGGTAGGGGGAGGGATAAGGAGGTTTGAGAAAGTGGTCAGTCCAGGGAAGGAAGTCTTGATGAAGTTTAAGAACAGCTGGAACAAAAATCCAGAGCAGGTGAGTGGAAAGGTGGAAGGTACACACCAGAGAGTGCGGTGTCTGAGGTCGAGATTTCGGAGGTGGGCTCCTGATCGAAGACTGACGTTCTAGGGTAGGGACGCACGAGAGAGAGCTGAGGTGTTGGTGGAAGGAATGATCCTGGGAGTCAAGGGGGCCAAGGAACTGAAGGACCTGCCGGACCCGGGAGTGAGTCAGGTGTGGGTGAGGAGAGAGAGGGCCCAGGGGCCAAGGCCACGGGTGGGCGATGGGGAGTGGCTGGAGTTCAGCAGGGACAGTAACAAGCAGAGAGGAGGAGTGCAAATGTGCGATTGCTTCTGTTTCAAGAGAACTGGGGTTCGTGAAGGATGAGAGGAGAAAGGATTTGAGTGTGCCATTGTGGGGGGCTGGGGGATCGGGAAGACACTCCTGTCTAGGGCCTGGGGTACAGAGGACGGGGAAGAAAACACCACTTTCCCCAACTCAGAGGCCGGTCAGGTTTCAGGTAGAATTCGGCAGTGAAGGGAAAGTCACAGTGAGGCAGATTCTGCAGCTGAAGACCACGAGCTCCCGGGCAAGGTGGAAGAGGTCTGGAGGGTGGGCGGGGTGGGAAGTGGGACTCAGACGGGGGACTGTAAGGAGCAGCACAGGGGACAGTACTGGTGGGAGCACAAATGATCTGAGAGGCTGGTGAGTACTCTCAGTGATCCGCTGGACAGCCACAACACTCACAAGGATATTTAATTTTTGAAATAGTGTGCACTTGAATGAAAACACTGTATCTCGTTTTTTTAAAAACTTGGTCCTTGGACCAGCAGGGGTGGTAGTGATGGGGGTCCTGAGCTGTTCTGGACCTCAAATCTTCCCTGGTGTCACCGTGATCACGCCCAGGGATACGCAGGGACAGACCTGGAAGTGAAGCCAGCTCTGCCAGCGCCAGCACTGTGTTGCCCCCTGGGGCCAGTGGCAGGAGCTGCAGCTGCTCTGCCGGCAGCCACCTCGCCCTTCATGGCCGAAGCGGAAGCTGCCTTCCTGGCTTCATGAAAGTGTCCTCACATGACCAAATGAAGCCCCAGTCATCGGGAGGAGGAAGCAGCTGGGGAGAGGCGAGAAGAGAGGCACACTTACACATGGCGCACCGCATCCTCAAAGAGCACCAGGTCCATCACCGTGTTGACTTCATTGTGGTTCTCCAAGGCCTCCACCAGAGTCTGGGTCAAGAGCTCCCACGACTGCACAGGCATGTACTTGGGCTCCCCAATACCATTCGCAAAGTGGCAGTACACGTTCAGGCTCTGGTCCTGCTGCACGGTCTCTTCAATATCCTGGTGATGAGACACAGAAACAAGGACCCGCCTAACTGACTCCCAAGGCTGGCTCCACACAGACAGGGACACGTGTTCTGCTTTTGCTCTCTGCACACTCCCTAAACATTGAGCATCAGTGCTACTTCCAATACTTCCTCCTTCTTGGAAAGCCCTTATAAAGTGGATGTGTAACATGCATTTGCCAGCTCCATGAAGTCACAGATGATGTGTGTCACTCCTTGTGAGCCAAGGATGGGAAATGGAAGGTGGGAAGTGGCCTCCTCACAAGCACCGGAAGAGTGCCTCTGTGGTCACGGAGTGGATGGGACACGTGGGTGGATTTCCCTAAGCAGGTGCTCTTGCACCAGTGTTGGACGAAAGGAACCACGGCCCAGTGGCCTCACTTCCCCCATTCCAGCAGATTTAGGACCCCAGTCCACAGGAGTGTGGGAAAACACCCTTTCCTGCTTGCTGTGAGATTGCACTCTGTAGGAGGTTGTCAGCTCCAACTCCGCAGGTTCAGTCCAGAGGGCTCGGTTTCTGAAGAATGTGCTACTAACCAATCTTAGGCGACTGGTTTATTTCTCGAACATTGGTAATCTTAAAACGTTTACAGTAGAAGTCCTCACCCCCATTTATAAAACTTTCACAGGGATTTGGGCTCACTGTGTGTCAAATCTCACACACAGGACAAACTTTACCTTGTTGAATAAGTACCTAGTATAATGACTCAGTTAATTAAAAATATATGCAGTCTATGTCTCTTCACTACCAATGTATCCTCAGAGTATTGAAGAGGCAACTAATTTTTAATTTCATATTAGAGGAGACACAAAGGAGCTACTTCCTTGTGAAAACCCAAAACCTGACACTTGTGGGAGGAGAAAAGGTTATTGAGGAGGATAGTCCAAGAAAGATTAAGTTTTCTAAGACACAAGTAGGGAGTTATACCAGCACAAGCAGATGTCCCCCCTGCCATTCTTTTCTCCCAAAGTTCAGACTGGAGCATCTACCTGGGGAAGAGGTAGTCCAGGTACAGTTCATGAGCAGGGGCCTTGCCCAGGGCATACGTCACTGCTGGGTTAGCCTTGTGAGCTCATGAGGTGAGATTCACCAGACCTCATATAGGGAAAGGCAGGATGACAATAACATCTACAGAGAACCAGGACTGCTGCCTGGGCGCAAGAGGAAAGGACTGCAAAGAGTTAAGTATCGAAAAGTTACTACATTTTGAAGGTGCTTTCAGGGCCATAGACAACTCTTAAACTATTACGGCTTTGCCAGAATAAATGCTCAGACATTTGGATAAGATATAAAGGCCATGCAGGAGGGCTATTCTTGCTACTTCAGGAAAACTTTCATGAGACAGTAATGCGGAGATACATTCACCCGGGTAGAGAATGGGCTAACATCCAGGGAATCGGTTCTGATGGCAGTCAATTGACACTAGCGATCTAGCAGAGAAAGAACTAAAGTGCGGTTTTGAAACTCCTGGTCTACAAAGACTCTTTGATGAACAAAACAAGAAGTCTCCGATTTTGTGATCAGAGCCATGCCGTGTTGAAGGGAGAAGGAAAATCAACCAACACAGGGAATCAAAGATTCCTTAATAGTGACGCCGAATCACACAGGGCCATGAATCAGAGACTCTTAGCTTTGAATGGTGGAAACAGGATAATATTTCTTCTTTGGTGGAAATTTGATGATTTTTCCTTGCTACCAAGATTTGGTGCAGCCAAGGGTGTTTCAGGCTGGCATTTCAAATGTTGTTGGGGAAGGATAATGGCTGTGTTAACTATATCTGGGTCTATGATCAAAAGGATGTGCCTTCACTATATGGACCCACATAAGAACCTCTATTTCAAAGGCCGAGATATGGAGTCTGTGTCTATCCACATAAGAGTATGTCTATTCACATTATTACTCTGAAGTGGTAGCTCAGACCAACTTCTGAAGACAATTAATACTCCTGTGCAGAGCCAACAGTGACCACATAAACTGGCTAACTCTGCAGTGCTCAGAGAAGGGCATCTAAGATGTGACAGTTCTAAATATTGGGTTCCATAAAAATAACGAGAGATGTGGAAGGATTCAGGATGTTTGGCGTAGCAAAAACCAGACTAAAACGGGTTACTTAAAATGCTATCTGAACATTCAAAAGGCTGTCATATAGGTTGGGATGGGCTGTAAACATCTTCACAGGTAGAGCCAGGGTCTTATCAGGAAAAAATACAGAGCTAAACCAAACAAGGTGAGTAAAGGGACAACGCAGTGCACTTAAACACGGGACTGGATTATTTCTGAGTTCAAGAGAGGACAGACGGCCGGGCGCGGTGGCTCACGCCTATAATCCTAGCTCTCTGGGAGGCTGAGGCAGGAGGATCGTTCGAGCTCAGGAGTTCGAGACCAGCCTGAGCCAGAGCGAGACCCCGTCTGTACTATAAATAGAAGGAAATCAGCTGGACAACTAAAAATATATAGAAAAAATTAGCCGGGCATGGTGGCACATGCCTGTAGTCCCA